TGGAGGACTGTTTACTGATCCTTGCAGAGTAGACTACAATGCCAGCTGGTCTGACTCGCAGATTGTAAGTACGTTTTTTATATTTAAAGTGTTTTTATATTTTTTATTTTTTATATTTAGTTTTTTGGGCAGTGTAGAGTAGGGCTTGTTGTTTGTCATTTCTCCGATCACAAATGCAGACATGGTTTTATGTTTACGCGGCGCGATGCAACGCAACGCGTAAAAAGACAGTATAAGTCATTATAATCCATAATTATGTCCCCACTGGATGCAACGAATGCCTCGTTTATAATGGGTTTTCATGTTTTTAAATCATCGCTCCAGCCTGACAGGGCATCATCACAATATGGTAGGGGCGTAACATTTCCGTCACACGCTTGAGGTATTCGGCCAATCATAAAGCACTGGATAGCTGGCCAATCACAGCACACCTTGCTTTTCAGACCGATGAGCTTTGTAAAAATCGACGCGTTTCAGAAAGGCGGGGCATAGAGGAGAAACAATAATGTACAGTATGTGGAAAATAATGTGTTTTTTGAACCTTAAACCGCATAAACACATTTCATTACACCAAATACACAAAATAATGTTCTTTTTAGCAACATCATATGACCCCTTTAAATTAACTGAATGAATGACCATATAAATAAAACATTGATACCCGCAGTATTGATGCATTATTGTGAGCAAAATAATCATGATATATCTATATTATTTTTCTGAAACATGCCTTTAAAGGGCAAGAACATTTCTAGAGTTGTGTTAAATGGGTTAATCTTTGCTGTAATTTATCACTATCCCTTCAAGTTAAATCTAGATTAAAGGGTTAGTTCACCCAAAAATTAAAATTGGCCCATAAATTACTCACCCTCAAGTCATCCTAGGTGTATATGACTTTCTTCTTTCAGATGAATCCAGTCGGAGTTATAATAAAAATTGTCTTTGATATTTCTCAAGCTGTTTAATGCCACTCAGTGAGTTTTGCATGCATCAGTCCAAAAGAAGTTAAATAAAAAGCTCCCATCCATAAAAAAAAAGTGTCTCCCACGGCTCTGGGGGGTGAACAAAGGCCTCCTGTAGCGAATCGATGCGTTTTTGTAAGAAAAATATCCATATTCAAAACGTAATAATCACTTGAATCTAGCTTGCGCTCACTGTTGTAAACAGAAGCGAAATCCTCTAACATTCTTCTTTACAAATCCTCGTTTTGTACTTCTAATTAGTGACCGTTGTTTTGTTTTGATCTGTCCCCTGAGCTTCCGCGTGCGTCACTTCTGAGCGGCGCATGCGCAAAGCTGACCTCATACGTCATCCGCCCGGAACTGCTTCCATGTACAACAGTGAGCGCAAGCTAGATTACAGTGATTATTATGTTTTAAATATGGTTATTTTTCTTACAAAAACGCATCGATTCGCTACAGGAGGCCTTTGTTCACCCCTTGGAGCCATGTGACACACTTTTTTTTATGGATGGGCGCTTTTTATTTAACTCCTTTTGGACTGATGCATGCAACACCCGCAGAGTGGCATTAAACAGCTTGAAAGATCAAAGACAATTTTTAATATAACTCCGACTGGATTCGTCTGAAAGAAGAAAGTCATATACAGCTAGGATGATTTGAGGGTGAGTAATTTATGGGCTAATTTTCATTTTTGGGTGAACTAACCCTTTAAGTTCCACTGTGAAATATAAAAGTCCCCACCCAGTTAAATAACCAACATTAGCATAAAAAAAAACAACAAAAAAAAACAACAACAACACTGACCTACATGTTACAAAAAAAAACATACAAAAAAAAAAAGTTTGGTTCATAATAGATATGATCATAATATGTTGAGCATCCCTAAATAATAGTAATTAACTTTACTTCCCCATTACCCCAGGAATCATTACTATAATTGTGATTAACCTCATTTCTTCACATCTCACATCTCACATCTCAACTGACTGAGCAAGAGATCTAAACTCATCCAGATAAATTCGGTTCAAGTCAGTGTTCTAAATAAATGCATGGTGACACAGCTGTGGCAGATCTAATAATTCTCCCGGGCTGCAGCTTATGGTGACGGCTAACAATCTGTATACAGGAGGACACAGAGCCTTTAATATCCCCAATCACTTGATTGGCTCTATGACTCTCTCTCCTCTCCACCTGTAGCTGGTGTGTGGTGAGCGCACTGGTGCCGTTGTCCTGTGGCTGCCGTCGCATCATCCAAGTGGATGCTGCACACTGGTGGTGGTTGAGGAGAGACCCCCCCACATGATTGTAAAGTGCTTTGGGTGTACAAAAATACACAATAAAGCGCTATATAAATGCATCATTCATCATTCATTCATAAGTATTCACCCCCTTAAGACCTAAGCACTGAATCACAAAAGATATTATTTGGCTTTATAGAGGGAACAAGAAAGTCTTCAAAGTGACCTCTACAAAGTAATCTAAAATCATTATAAAAATAAGATTAAAATAACTGATTTTATAAGTATTCACCCCAGTTATTCTACACTCCATACACCATAATGGCAAAGCAAAAAACTTTTTTTATTAACATCTTTGCAAATTTATTAAAACTAAAAAACTTAAATGATTCCATTGCATAAGTATTCATACCCTTATCTGGTACAGTTGAAATTTAGCTCAGGAGCATTCATGTTGCTTGTAGATGTTACTACACATCAAGTGAAGTTAACCTGTGGCAAATTCAATTGAATGGGTATGATTTGGAATGGCACACACATCTTAATAAAAGGTCTAACAGCTGAAAATGCTTATCAGAGCAAAAACCAAGCCCTGGTCAAAAGAAGGTCAAAAGAACTGCCTGTAGAGCTCAGAAACAGGTTTGCGTCAAGCCACACATCTGGGGAAGAGTTCCGAAAAAAATCTGCTTCATTGAAGGTTCACAGAAGCATGTAGCCTCCATTATCCATGATGGAAGACGTTTGAAACAACTAGAACTCTTCCTAGAGCTGGCCTCCTGGCCAAACTGAGCAACTGATGGAGAAGGGCCTTGTCTAGACTGGTGACCAAGAAGCTGATGGTCACTCTAGTTGAGCTCCATGATCATATATGCAGATGGGAGAAACCCACAGAACTGCAACACTCCACCGATCTGGATGGCAGTGTGGCCAAACTCAATCTTCTCCTCAGTGAAGACACACAAAAACCCACTTGGAATTTGCAAAAAAGCACCTAAAGGACCCTTAGACTGTGAGAAACAAGATTCTCTGGTCTGATGAACCTCAATTCCAAGCATCATGTTTGAAGGAAACCAGCACTGCTTCTCACTTGCAGAGTGCCATCCCAAAAATAAAGTGTGCTGGTAGCAGCCTCATGCTGTGGGGCTGTTTTTCAGCAGCAGGGACTGAGGGACTCGTCAAGGTAGAAGAAAAGCTAAATGCACCAAAATATTGAGAAATCCTTAATGAAAACCTAGTCCAGAGCATTCAGAACATCAGACTGGGCAGAAGGTTCACCTTCCAACAGGACAATGACCCTAAGCACACAGCAAGAGTGGCTTATAGACAACTCTGTGAATGTCCTTGAGTGGCCCAGCTACAGCCACCTGGGCCACTATATATATAAATGTGTGTGTGTGTGTGTGTGTGTGTGTGTGTGTGTGTGTGTGTGTGTGTGTGTGTGATATAACACATCAATTGTAAATAATCAGTGGTGCAGTCATTCTTTTTGTAAGTTAATTTCATTTTAAAACTACCAATTTTTAATTCCAATAAATTCTGCCTGGTTCAGTATTGTATGATAATAAAACATGAACAGAGCAACATGGATTTTTTTCGAATCAGTACTCAATTACTGTTCAAAAGTTTGGGGTCGAAGATATTTAAATGTTTTTGAAAGAAGTCTTTTATGCTCACAAAGACTGCATTTATTTGATCAAAATACTGTCAAACAGTTTTAAATATATATTACATATTAAATATAATTTAAAATATTTTAATATATTTTAAAATGCAATTCATTCCCGTAATTCACAATGGCAAAGGTGAATTTTCAGCATCATTACTCCAGTCTTCAGTTTCACATGATCCTTCAGAAATTATTATAACATGCTGATCTGCTGCTCAAGAAAGATTTATTATTAGTATCAATGTTGAAAACAGTGCTGCTTAATATTTTTGTGTAAACTGTGAAGCATTTTTTTTAAGATTCTTCAACAAGTGGAAAGTTCAAAACAATAGCATTTATTACAAATATAAATCTTTTGTAACATTATAAATGTCTTTACTGTCACTTTTGATCAACTGAATGCATCCTTGTTTAATAAAAGTATTAAAGTATTAATACCAACTAAATTTTTGAATCGTAGTGTGTATAATCGGTTGTGTTTTTGTAGGTAAAGGTAACATTGTTCTCACCCTTTGCTGCGACGGTAAGTGGTGCCCACCGGACAGGGTACTGGTGGGGCATAAAGGTTTCCAGAAAACTCAGGATCAGGCACGCACACCTCGAGAGACAGATCCTCACTCAGCTTAAACCCGTAGTCACTGCAATCAGATAAAGATGACACAAAGTAGTGGAAAATGATTGGCATTCAGGTGAAGAAAATGGCAAAATGAGAAAAGCAAAGGAAAACGGGATTTCGGCTCATACCACTCAAAGTCCTGTCGAGTGCAGGAGCAGTTGGACAGAGTGACGGGCCTGTCGAAGTCCTCGCCGTTGAAGCAGGTGGCGTGAGGCGAGCGGCGCTTGTACACCATCTCTCTGCCGAGCAGACAGCCGTTTCCCCTCTCATCAGAAGGAGACCAGCGTTTATAGTCGCCCTCCAAGCACGGCACACCTAAACACACATAACATCAGATGTAGAACTGGCTGCTAGGGGATTTGCTGGGCAGTTACTAAGGTGTGGTGGTTACAAGGTGCACCAATTATAAGTGCACTGTTCTCTTACCAAGCACATCACTAGCGTTGACCTGCACAATGAGCCAGCTGTGTTTCTGGTCCGCATATGAGCCGAAGACGGTGAAGATGGTGCTCTTTTCACCCGGTTCAGTCAGCAGCTGGTACACATATACCTCCTGCTCTGAGAACTGGAACTCTTTCCAGGTTTCCCCCTCGTTGGTACTGAATCTGAACCAGCAAAAGACAAGACACAGCTATCAGTAACGTCCTAAAGCCAGATAATACTCAAAGAGCTTCTACTAAAAGCAGAGTGACATTAGATCCTTAAACAGTTACTGACTTGAGTGTTCTGGTGGAGCCACCCTGTGCGATAGCCATCAGGATCCCTCCATGATCTCCCCAGGTGTAGAAATGAGGACCAGCCAGGGCCTAAAGAACATACATATCCATTACATGGAACAACAAATGCTACTACACTTTTCAAAAAGTCTGGGAATATAAAAAGTGCTATTGTACTGAGCAGCAGCATCGTACAAATTTTTTTTTTGAGGGGTAAATAATGGCACTTTGGCTCAACTGGTGCCCTAAGTGAGATAATAATAATACATGACTAAAAAAATCCTTTATATAAGATGGGATAGTCTAGTGGTACTTCTTTAATATGTAAAGGAAACAGGTTAAACTCCTGATTTAACATATACTTTCTCAAAAAAAAAAAAAAAATCATAAATGAATATATAAACAAACTAAGGATGCTCATTTCGGTTAATTTTTCCGACCGACAACCACCGTCGGTATCCGAACATTAACCGTTAACTGATAAGATTTGAATATTAAATTAGTATTAAATAAATAATAGAATGGACGAGTGTCTGTGACCCATTAAAAATACACCTGCAGCGCTTCTGAGAACAAAGAAAAACTGAATGAAATAATATAAATAAAAAGAATAAAATAAATAGGCCTACACAAAGTATTTTTAACTTAAATAATTAAATTAAGATGACACACACACTGAATCCTTCAATGCACTTTGAAGAACCTAATGTTTTTTTTCATCAGACATAAATCCTCTCATTAGAAATAAATTGTAATAAGAGAATAATTGTGCAGTAGTGTAGAGCTTCATTGAATATAATGAAACTTTGTGAGATTGCGAAGAACTGAAAATGAGTGACAGCTTTTTATCCAATTTATCCAATCTTGCCTTTTGCCATTGTGTTGCCTTTATTACTTCAGTTAAATGAAAGTGGAGCAGGTGAAATATATCTGTAGGCAAGTGCGGTTGCAGGTATCTCTACGTCCCCGGCCATGAGTTAACAAATATGCATAGAATAATAATGCATAATAATAATAAATAATGCATAAAATTATTATTAATTAATTATTATAGAATATTTTTCTTTAACAATACAGCAAACTTTAAAAAAAACTTTTAAAACCTTTTAAATCGTTCAGCTGAGTATTAATCGGTCAAAATTCTTTCGGTTAACGGTAAAACCATTAAAATATGAGCATCCCTAAAACAAACCAAGCAAATTGCGAAAGAACTGATGATCATGTATTATGATCTACAAAAAAAGAGCAGATTTGATCTTTTGCTTCATGTGAAAAAAAAGATATGGGTGTTCGGAGCAACATAAGGGTGAATAAATATCATGCCAAGTCAAAGTTTATTTATACAGCACATTTTAAAGCAAATAAGTGCTGTAAATAAAAAAAGTAAAAATAACTGCAGAAAAAAAAACAAAATTCTGAGAAAATCAAATTAAAATGAAAAAAGTAAATAAAATATTGAGCCACTACATAAATACAACAATACAAAAATAAATAAAATATTAACTGAAATCATCATCATCATCGTCAAAAAAAAAAAAGTCAAAAGTGCAACATAATTGGATTGAGCAAATTTGGACACATGAATGGCTGATTTCTGTGTTCTATGCAAACCCAATTTTTTACCTAAATAACCGTTTTTTTTTTTGTTTTTTTTTTATTGCACTATCACAGAGATGCAGGTCCTCACCTCTCTCCATCTGACCCCTGCGCTGCTGGATACATACACATTGGGCTTATTGGCCAGATTCTTTCCAACAGATCCTGTACAGAAGATAGTAGAGAGAGAGAAAAAGAGACAGAGAGAGAGCGTGAGTTGAGAGTCAATATTTACACTGCATCTGGTGTCATATATCACAGGCCTCAATTACAACTGATATCAGGTGACCATCTGACAAAACGACAGCGTTTAAAGCAAGTGTAAAAGGGGTATTTATGTTTCATGATGTAAACCACATGAGAGATGGTCTCAAGTGCATCTGACCACATCATATTTGTAGTGTAGATGCTAATGTTTCAGCCTACTCAAAATTCAGACCACAATAGAGACAAAACAGCAGGAAATTAGCTCAAAGAAGAACAAACCCAGCAAAGGGCAAGAAACACTGTGTTCCTGTCAGATGCTTCAGTCTCGCCACTGTGACAAGAAGCCCAGACAAGGATACTACTGTCTGTCACCTTCTCCTTCGACACCCCTGACATCAGAATCATCGGTTTCCTTTTTTCGATGCCATGCATTGTACTGCTGCGTCACCGCAGGTGGTTTTGTCATTAATTAATTTGAGTGCTAATGAACTTCATTTATATTAATCTCCTTAAGAGAGATATGCGGCACTTAACACGTTTTTTTGCAATAAGAACAATGCTGAGGTGGTGTCGATGAGTGCAAGGGTGTGTTTGTATGTGATAATTAGCCAGTGGGTGAAGTACAAATAATTAGCACATCTGCGCCGAAGCGATAGCAGCCGAAGCGGCCAGACATTTTCACAAGCCTCCTGCGCCTCTCGTCTTCATGCATGCACATTATCTAATAATCATTTAATTAAAGGCCTGGCTGCGGCTGGCAGAGAGAGAGAGAGGGATTCGAGAGGGAGGAAGTGCCTTCCAAACCGTGCAAAGAGAGCAAAATCAATGTTTTCCGCAGGCATGAACTCAAGAATTCAGGCTCATGCACTTGCTCCCTATCATTACAGTGTGTACTGTGTTCTCTGAAGGGACCTACACACACTTGGTTAACAGGAGCAAAGCAACATAAACAGGAAGAAACCGAACAAGCTGCTAAAGTGTTTGCATTTCCTCTCTCACGCACATATGAGAGGAGCAGAGAGCAGGTTATGTGGCCTACCTGTTGCCATGATGAGGCCAGGTGCAGACTCTTTAGACAGAACAGGGATCCTGCGCAGCTGAATATTCAGCAGCTGACTCCATCTCTGGGCCAAGTGCAGGGAACAGCCATTGTCCAGCTGAGAAGCCAAGAGAGAGAGATAGTAACAAACAGTTAACTGGAAAAGCATGAAAAAGCCCTACTTCCTCCTACAATCGTAAAACTTAGCAGTCTAACTCCTTTTTCGCAAATACAAAACCACAGCTTCATGAACACATGCTTGGCATCACGAATACACAAAATAGAGCAAAAAGTGGAGATTCTACACTCATGGTAGGGATAAGCACAATATATTGGTATCATACCAGTTATCTACTGATATTAAAGTTTTTTTATGTATCACTATCACTCAGTCTTGGGTATTTAATCGTTTATGCTCATGACTCATGAAGATAACCTTTGCCATCATCTAATGCCCACTTTAAAAACATTAAAAATATTAATAATTTATAAACACTATTCAAAGTAATCTTTAGCAAATCTCAAAGTGAATATCCATTCTTCATACTGTACATTATTACAGTTTTGATGCCAAAATAATCTGTAGCATTTAAAATTAAACATAATGCATATTAAATATAATATATACAATAAGTATATTACATTTTTAGAATTATTAAAATTTATTTTAGTTGACATGATTTTTTTAAATTGATTTGAAATTTTTTTATTTGACAAATTAATTAAATAAATATATAACATGAATGTTTTAGACAAAATAATATAATGTATAGACAAAATAATATAACATTTTATCTAACATTTATCGGTTATTGGCCATAAATTTACTCAGTACTCAGTACTTAAAAGTACTCAGTACTCTAGTACTCAGAAATGCCAGCAATGATCATTCATAAATGTTATATTTCGTTACAGTGGCATTTTGGGTAGTAGTGTGCGGTCTGAACAGTTAGAGGGGGGTAGAAATTTATGCCAAAAAGCATATAGTGCATTTCAGGGGAAGAAAATTCACTCAACTCTGCATAGAAAGAGCATCCACATCGGATGTGTTTGTGTGCTAAAAAAACTGAATGGGAGTTAAACTAAATGGACCAAAATCACATGGATCTTGCTTTTATATTTTGGATTATTATTAAATTGACAGAACATCTAAAAGAAAAACCCTTTACCCCAGAGTATTTGGCTGATTAATCTAGTACTCGAGTATCCAAAATGACCAACATCCCTAATACCTGGCAGACTACGGTTCCTCCCAGGCTGTCGGCCGCAGGTGGCTGCAGAAGCTCCCAGGTTCCTCCTTTATCAAACGTGATGACTGACCGCATGTTGTCCTCAGTGACCGATCCATTGATCAGAGTGGCCACAAACACACCCCTCAGCCCCTCGACCCGGTGGAGATCTGCAAACGGCTCGTTGGCGAAGTACCTTTCAAACACACAAAAACACAAATCTGTTTCCATGTGCCATTCATATCTGCCAAGAGAGGGGCTCTATAAAAAATGCCAGTGGCACGCGAGCCAAGCGCATCTCATCTGCATTCCGCACTGCAGTAATTGCGTCTCTGCTCTCAGGCGGCCGTGCTGAGCTCAGTGGTTTGGCGGTGGGTGAGATCATGCTCTGCTGCAGAGTAAAACAAAAGCATGTCCTTGGGAAGCTGTGTAGGAATGATAGATTGCTTTTCTACTGACAGTGTGAGCGGAGGGACCGGTGGGCGAAGACATAGTTCTTGCATTAGAGAGACGAGACCTCACTAACCTGCTTATGGGTTAAGGTGTGCAGAGCCAAAACGGATTTACAGCACTGATGAGGGGCCGTCACTAAACCAAGAGGAGTTCAAGTAAAGGTGACGAGACCAAAAGCTGCGTAAGACCGGGGCTTAACATGAATTACTGAAGTGGGACATGTTCCTGGCTCAACATGGTTGTTGGCTCTCAGACAACATTTCTAACTACATTTTTGGGTTGGGGCTTCAACCAAAATTTGTATCAACCTATGATTTCCTTTGGGTTTTAGGGATTATGGTTAGTGTGAAGTTAAGAAAAAGGCGTTATGGTTAGTGTAGGTCAATGGTTCTTGTTTTTTAGGGTGAAAAGTAAAAAGTATGTTGAAAGTTTCTATTGAAAACTGCTAAGAAATGCACTTATTTATTTATTTATCTATTTATTTATTTATGCATTTTCAGATTTACACTAATGTTCAAAGGTTTAGGGTCAGTAAGATTTTTTTTTCCAAGGAATTAATATTTGTCATCAGCAAGAATGCATTAAATTGATTAAAAGTGAAAGTAAAAAAACACATTTGTTACAGAAATTCAGGATTTTAAAAAAAATGCTGTTCTTTTGAACTTACTATTCATTAAAGAATCCTAAAAAATTATATTATGGTTTCCACCAAAATATATGCTGCACAACTGTTTTCGACATTGATAATAAAATTAAATGTTCATGAGCACCAAATCATCATATTAAAATGATTTCTGAAGGATCATGTGACACGGAAGCCTAGAGTAATGATGTTGAAAATTCAGCTTTGCCATCACTCAAATAAATTACATTTTAAAATATATTCAAATAGAAAACAATTAATTTGTTAATTTGTAATAATATTATTTCACAGTATTAGTATTTTTACTGCATTTTTGATCAAATAAATGTAGCCTTGGTGAGTAGAAGAGACTTCTTCCAAAAAAAAAAAAAATGAACAACCCCAAACTTTTAAATGATTCTGTATAGATTTATGATGATTAACAAAAATAAAATGTTTATTTTCTTTTAAGCTTAAGGTAGTCTTTTCAAAAATATGTTGCATGTAAATAGTATTTATGAATTGTTTGTAAATATTCTATATATCACTTGTAAAGACAGAAAACTACCAATAAAAAGACAAAAAGGCAATACAAAATCTTTAACATTAATGAATGGGGCTAGGGACACGATTATTTAAAGGGATAGTTCACCCATAAATGAAAATCTTATCATTAATTACTCACCCTAATGTCGTTCCAAACCCGTAAGACCTTCGTTCATCTTCGGAACACAATTTAAGGTATTTTTGATGAAATCCAAGAGCTTTCTTACCCTCCATAGACAGCAAGGCAATTGACATGTTCAAGGCCCAGAAAGGTAGTAAGGACATCGTTAAAATAGTCCATGTGACATCAGTGGTTCAACCGTAATGTTATGAAACTACAAGAATACTTTTTGTGCGCAAAAAAAACAAAAATAACGACTTTATTCAGCAATGTTCTCTTTCGTGTCAGTCTCCGCTGTGCATTCACAAGAGTACCATGACGTGGTAGTTCCATTGCTGTCTATGCAGGGTCAGAAAGCTCTCAGATTTCATCAAAAATATATTGTGTTCAGAAGATGAACAAAGGTCTTACGGGTTTGGAACGACATGAGGGTGAGTAATTATTGACAGAATTTTCATTTTTGGGTGAACTATCCCTTTAATCGAATGTTGTTCCAGGACCAACAAACATAAGTCCTACTTTGGTAAATCACTTTTATGGTCACACCATCTGTGTTTATGTACTGTTCTGCAGCAGGAAGGCGTCTCTCTCTCTCTCTCTCACACACACTGTGATGTTTAACTGTACCTGATAAGCGTGTTGCTCCCAGAGCCATCAGGGCTGTAGAACAGCACGTTCTCTAGGGACAGAGAGAAGGCTAGGCCCTGTGTGTCCGAGATGTACAGGTGTGTAACGTTATTATTGTGGTTCACGCATACGAACACCTGGTCCTCCGAAGCATCTGCTATGTAGTACTCCTGCAGAGAGAGGAGAGCAGGGAATCGCATGAGAAAGGTAAACAACATGAAGTTTTAAAAGTCATGACCATACATTTATTTCTGAGACTAAACGAAGCTGACGGCACTCACCGTGATGGGGTGGCGGGTGTTAAACTGAGCTGCTCTCATTGGCTGCCGGTTGTAGGAAACCCACAGCTGGACAGACTGAGACTCGTGGCTCCCAAACAACGTCTGTGGAAACACATTCATAATAATTAGCTTAACTAAAACAAATAAATCAAATTGGATATCACATATTAGTGAAGTGAAGTGACGTGTGGCCAATTATGGTGACCCATACTCGGAATTTGTACTCTGCATTTAACCCATCCACGTGCACACACACAGCAGTGAACACAGACACACAGTGAACACACACACATACATAAAAGAAAAGAAAACAATGACTACTAAAAATGACCAAAATAAAAAAAACTAACTCAGAAAATCTAAAAATAAAAATTGATTCAATATATTAACAAAAACTATAGCTTTATATCAATGCTAAAATAACACTGATTAGAGATTAATCAATGTCTTCTTATGACTAATAATGAAACATATTATTTTAATATTTATATCTAAAAAATATTTTTAATTATTGTTTTATTTCTGCTTTGACACAGTAATAACTATATGATCAACAGACTACAACAAAAACAATATGTATTTCGATTATTTTTATTAATAATAAAATTCTTAAAATAATATTAATCATTTATATTAATTTGTATAATAATAATAATAATAATATTATTATTATAAATAAATTAAAGTAATTTATACACTTAATAATAATAAGAAAAAAATTGTTAAATAATTTATAATTGTAGTAATTGTTATTTACGGCATTATATTTATAAAAAGATGTTTTGGTATATGAATGTTCACATATTTAAATTTTTTTTTATTTATTTTTTTATTAATATTTAAAATTTGGACTAACAATAATAATAAAAAACTAATTTCATTGAGTTAATGCCCAAACAATAAATTAAATAATTCAATGTACATATGTGAACACTGTTAAACAGCTGAATAAAAAAAGTGTGAATATCTTTTTTAAAAATGGTTAAACAGATTTATCAGTCTATATCTAGTTAAAATGCAAGGTGGTTTGTTTCACTACTTTCCACTGCTACTCAAAACTAGAACATGGTGCAGCAAAATAATTAAAATTAAACATCACAGAGTCATAAAGATTTTATAAAGTAATCTGATACCTTCAGTTACCATAAACCATGGCATAATACCACTATAAATGGGGTCTGAATGGCAGACAATATCAGCATGGGCAGATATGCCCAGCCAGCACTGTTTTCACTAGGGTCCTGTACCTGTTAACGCTTAATAAGGACACCTGGGGATTTGGAAAAGGAAAAAAACAGTATGTCTCATTTGTACTTCTAAAACTGCTGGTTTTTTAAAGATAAAAGGGAAGGAAAGTTGGTGTGAGCGGTACTAATCTAGTCAGTGTCCCAGCAACCTAGATGTGCCTGTCTAGCATTGTCTGAAATGAGCAATGCGTCATGAAGGGATGAGTCTTTTCACTCCTTCTTCCCAAGTCTCTCCTTCACTTTCTCCCCTCAGGAAATCAAAGCTTCAATCAATTCTGAAGTTCAAGCGGTTCAATCAGTCTCTCCTTTGTACGACAAGCTGTCACTGTAATCAAGCTGTGGGTGAGTAAGTTACTTACATCAGGTTCACAAAGCTGTAAATTAAAGTCTCACTATAATAAACAGATTACGTACAACCAAACTAAAGATTTGTGTCCGAGATACGTGTTCAATATTCAGTACATAAATACCTCATGTGAAATGAGGGAATTCAAATGACAAAAAACTACTACCATTCCGACAGATTTTTCAAAACAGATTTGCCTAAAAAATTTGATTTTTGCTGCCTGCCTAAAAGCCAAAGATGCCATTAGAGGTGAAAAAGGCATTACTCGAAAAAAGCAAAGAAACAGATTCTCTACATTAATCAGGTTTATTGCCGTTTCCTAGATCATACTGCAAAGTCAAAAAGGGCTGCAAGATGGGAGTGGTAACAGGCAAAATACTAATAAACACAGCCAGCGAAAGGGATTTATTGGGTCAGTGTAAGAACAACAGGAAGACAGCCTGTCAGATTAAAGTGTATTTATAAGCATTATCATCCTGAATAACAAGTTTAACCACTTCCTTGTTCAAAGGCACAAAGGCTTAATGTTTTCTTTCTCGGCTCTCTGCACTGCCTCGTTTTTAGTCACACCATTCATGCTATTGATTTATCTCGCTGTTAACGGCTGTCTCCAGGAACAGACTGCAGTGTTGTGGAAGCAGCCAAAACACAATCTGGCTTTAGAGAGCAAAGACCGGGGAGATCTCTCGAAACAGACGCTGTTGCCGGGAGATCTTAAGAGAGCAAGGTGTGCGATAACAACAATCAAATCACAAAGCTGCAACAACCAGATCCAGATGCCAATGTTTAGATATGGTACCATAATATGTTCTTGTGTAAACAATACATCATTGCATGCAATTACTGGACAAGGTTATTAAAAATGATGGAAAACATTATAAAGTATTCAGTATTTTATATTATATTCAAATATTAAATAATAAAAGTTCTATGTAGTATACTTGCATATGAAAATACACTACAGAGTTTACTATATAATTTAATATATAAAAATATAAAAATACTATTAAAATTTGTTAAAAAAAATAGTTAAACTCTATCCAATTAAGTTTTTTAGAGCTGAGTGGAATTAATCATTATATTATGATATTATGATAATTATAAATATAATTCTATAATTACATATTTAGGTCTGGAAATCAAAAGTTTAAAACTATGGTATTTTTAAGAAAACATTGTTAAAGGAATAGTTCACCCAAAAATGAACATTTTGTCATCATTTACTCACACTCATGTCATTCCAAACCTGTAAAAAAAAATAGTTAAACTCTATCCAATTAAGTTTTTTAGAGCTGAGTGGAATTAATCATTATATTATGATATTATGATAATTATAAATATAATTCTATAATTACATATTTAGGTCTGGAAATCAAAAGTTTAAAACTATGGTATTTTTAAGAAAACATTGTTAAAGGAATAGTTCACCCAAAAATGAACATTTTGTCATCATTTACTCACCCTCATGTCATTCCAAACCTGTATAAGTTTCTCTCTTATGTTGAACACAAAAATATTTGTTGAAGAACCAAACAGTTGCTGGTCCCCACTGACTTACATACTGTAGTAGGGAAAGAAATACTATTGAAGTCAACAGGGATAGCTAATAAATAATAATAGTACTTAAAATATTATAATTCTAATAACACTATATTATCTATAGTATTTAATATTTACATTTAATATATATAATAATTTTTTTTTTAAACTGACACATGGTACTGCCACAGTATAATTTAATGGGGCCGTGGGCTGTTTTTTGAATGTGCAAATAAATTCGTCAAGCTGCAATCTCAAAAGTCTGAAAGATGTCTGAAGATTGTCATTCAATAGCATCATAACTGGCACCTTTCAGGAAGGTGCAGAGCTACTACAGAGGTGGATGCACAGCGTTTCTCTGATTGAGCCATTAACAAATCCTGTCAGGTGGTCAGAGGTCAGAAATTTTCTCCCAGGGCTCCATTTGCACCTGACACGTAGATCCAACCTCCAATTTTAGCCGTCACAGTATCATTAAGCATTTATAGGCAGTTAGCCACAAACAGCCCCTCTGAGCAAACTGTCATCTCTCATTCTGCTGCCATAGTATCCGAATGTCCCTGACTTCAAACTTGACAGCAAAACTCGCCTATAAAAAGCCTTCTATTCTTACATGCCAACATGAATGGAATCGTTTCTGGCACAGCCGGCCTAATGAATATCTGGCTTTGGAGTCACTTTGCCGTCTTTGTGGAGGAGGCATTTATCTCTGGAACAACAGCCGTACTGTGCTGGCAGTCTCTCCCATCGCTTAGTCTGGAAGACAGATCAGACTTTCAAGCATGAGTGAGAATGTGTAGATGCAGCATGTTGAAGGAACACAGTGTGAAAAGTTCTGCATTACTGAGATGGTCGGTTCAAAATGAGGACCCTTTCCCAACACTGAAGACTCTACTGAATCTATAGAGTCACAGGAAAAAGAAAATTATATTTCTCTTTAATATAAAGGAGATATAAAGGTTCTTTAATCAGTCTGTGAACAGACTCACAAACTTTGGGTTTTGATGGTTAGCATAGCTCAGTTAACCCTAGTTAAATTTGAAAGAATAGTTCAGCCAGAAATGTCAAAATTTGCTAAAAAATGTACTCATCCTTCAGACCATCCAAGATGTGGGGCCCTATTTTAACAATCTAAGACCATGGTCTGAAGCACACGACGCAGGTGCACTTAGGGTGTGTCCGAATCTACTTTTGCTAGTTTAACGACGTATGGTCTAAAAGGGTTGTCCCTATTCTCTTAATGGGTAATGGGTGTGTTTTGGGCGTAACGTGCAGTAAACCAATCAGAGTGTCATCTCCCATTCCCTTTAAGAGCCAGTTGCACTTGTGCCATGGCGGATTCGCTATTTACACAGCGGAATTTTCAAGCGCAAAGACTGAACACGTCTCCAGAGAGGAAACGGAGCTGCTCGTGCACGAGCAAATAGGTAGCCTAATTCTGATGCATGCAATGACTATCATTATGACATGTAGGCATTTTTATATTTATGTAGCCTACACAATAATAATCTTTTAGATTGTAATCCTTTAATTTTTAATATTTGGCATGTTTGTGTGCTGCTGCACGTCCCTGTGTGTGTAATAAGCAGTGTATGCGCGTTGTGGACCCGCCTATAGGTGCATATTATTAAAAAAAAAATTACTGCGCCATTGACTTTAGACCAGGTTTTAGTTGGTCAATGACGTAGTCTAGCCTATATCAGTTGCCTCAAAATAGCAATGCGCCTCGTTTTCAGACCAGCACACCCATGGGCGCACAAATGGGCGCAAATGCATTTGCTATTTAAACAACATGGCGCAGGATGTGAAAATGATAACTGCGTCGGGCTGAAACTAGCAAAAAATACTTGCATCGCGCCTGGTGCCGCATTGTGCGAAGTGTATGATAGGGCCCGTAGAGTTTGTTTCTTCACCGAAACAGAAATTTTGCATTACATCACTTGCACAACAATGGATCTTCTGCAGTAATA